GCCCTCAAGAATTAGCCATGTCCCAGTAAATCTACCTTGAAGAAAGACATTTTACGTAAGAGAGCATTTTCTATAATTTTAATAGAAACTCTAGCTGTTTAAGCAAATAACATAAGCAAAAGATTGCTTGCTTGTTTAGTAAGGGAGATTGTAAAGTGAGAAAATGAGCAAAAATCTTGTCTATTCTACAATATTTTCAAGCTCAGTAATGCATACCAAACATGTGTATTCTTGATGTATTACTAATTTACAGATGATGTAGTATTCGCAATTATGGGAGAAATGACAATATATTCTAGACTTCTTCGATGAAATTATTGTATTTTGTTGTTTCAATTTTTTCGAGTTGAACTTCAATGCTATTAAGATTTTTTGCGTGCCTAATGTCAATTAGATGCTCTATGTAATTTGTTTTATTGTTGAATTCATATTGATTTAAGATAGTGCAAATTCCTTTGCAAATGCATTCCAAATGTACTGTCATAATTTTGAAATCACTTTGCAAATTATTCTATAAAATAACATAATTTAAGCTTTTTTTATTTTTTTGGGCAATAACATAATTTTGGATGGTGTAAATTGAAATTAGGTTCTTGATGTAATAACATTTGCAAAGTGATTTCTAATCTGCAATGTGATTTGTAAACTATTTTATTGAAATTAATTTTATTGTAAATAAATAAATAAATAAATAAGTGAAAATATTTAACCCAATCTTTGAGCAGTAAAATAATTAGTCCACGAATAGATAAAATAATTAAACAATTAGTTTTAACCTAATCCTTGCACATGTATAATTTAATTTTAACAAATGATGTTAATTAAGTTTTATTATTATTATTATATCTTTGTGAGATAGTGGTGGGGCCCATACTATTAATGAGTTAATAACCAAAATGGTCATTGAACTTTGCAAAAGTTTTTCACCAGATCATTGAACTTTAAAAATTACTCAAATCATTACTGAACTTTGCAAAAAGTTTTCATGGGATCACGAAACTTTAAAATTATCTCATTCATTACTGAACTTTACAAAAATTTTCCCAGGGGTCACTGAGTTCGATGACCTCTGGGAAAGTTTTTGCAAAGTTCAGTGATCTCATGGAATTTTTTGACAAGTTCAATGATGAATGAAGTAATTTTTGAAGTTCGGTGACCCGTGTAAACCTTTTGCAAAGTTCAGTAATGATTTTGGTGATTTTTAAAATTCAATGATCCAGTAAAAACCTTTTACAAAGTTCAGTGACCATTTGGATTACTAACCTTATGATTAATACATTTAACTAACAAATTCATTCTTTGCCACCATGTTAATTTATTTGTTGGGAAAAATGATGGTGGTGTCCATACTAAAGATTAAATTTGTAGGCAGTTAATTTGCCACGTTACCAGTGCTTAAGAGATCGTCTCTTATATAGACAGAGAAGAAGTGCGGGGTACATAATTTTCCAAAATTATATCGATTACTGCGGAAATCAATCACCAAAAAATACACCACAAATGGGGGTCTAAAAGTTGAGGATGAATAAGAACAGCAGTGAAAACACACACAAGCTATCTCAGTTCAAGGATATATTCAATTGGGACTTTTAAGAATTTTTGAGAATTTAAAAAATTTTGATGTTCAATTAAGATTTTTAAAGACTCTCTAAAAGTTTAGATGTATTCAATTTGGACTTTTATAGATTTTTAAAAAGTTTTTAAAAGTCATCGTGTATTCAATTGAAATTTTTTAGAAACCCTACAAGTCACGAGATATTAAAATAGACAATTTTTTTGGAGAATTCTGTACTTTACTGGAATTCTATAGAGTTTTTCGTGAAAATATAAATAGTAAATCTCAAGCAAAATCTCTCATATACTTTGAGACTTTGTGAAGATTTCAGAGCGAGAAAAAAAAAGAAAAAGTGTTTTTCAATTCTAGGACTTTTTCATATTTCTTCAATTCATTTGTAATCAATTTATTATTATTCAATATGTACATAATTCATTTTGAATTGAAATTATATGCAATCGATCTATTCTCTTTTTTTCTTTTTTCTTTTTTGGGTTGAGTACAATTTATACTCTTAAAATTTATGTTAATTTCATAAAAAAAAAAATTGGTTATGTTCGCAGAAATGATGTAAAAGTTTTTTATTATTTTATTTACACAAAATTTGACTGATTGGGTCGTGACTAGCCTGGGCGTGGTTTGGTTCTGGTCAATTGCGAGTTGGAGACTCCAACTCAAAATCAAAATCAAATTAGTCTATTTGGGAGAATTTCAACCCAAATCAACATACTCTAACTCTTAAACTGAGCCAAACCAAATTGGGCTTTTAGTCCAAATTGATTTAAAAAAAAAAAAAAAAAAGTTTGAACTTTGAACCCACTTAGATTATAAGAACAAAAATAATAATATAATTTTATATTACTAGAATTATTAACTAACAAATAAAATCAGATCAATAGAGATGGATCAATAGAAAACATAAAAAATTTGTTGCTTATTTTAACTATTGTGCAGTCTGATTACCTAAATAGGGAAAACATGCTAAATATAACATAATGAGCTTGCGAAAGGGAATTCTCATTGCTATTATTTAGAGTAGTGATGGCCAAAAAAATCGCCTTGCCTCGAATGGGTTGGTAGGGCGGGGCATCGCGCCCCGTGAAAGGAAAAAAAATAAAATTAAAAATTAAAAATAAATTTATTTCTAGATAATTCACCCGTTAAAATATACATTTTGATTTGAATTTGTATTTTATTCTCTATTACTAACATAACTTGAAATTTTGAAAATATAAAAAAAAAAATAAACGAGGCAAAAATTTGCCCCGTCCCGAGCGAGGGGCGAGGTTTGGGCGAGACAGAGCGAGGCGTTGTCCCGTTGTCATCCCTAATTTAGAGCAATGCCATAGATTGGAGGGAATTGATATATAGTTATGAGATTAAAATTTATTTTTTGATTTTTATTTTTCTTAAATTAAAAAAAAAGTAAGTGGGTTGGATTAGTTCGGTCAACCAACCATTTGAGACTTCAAACCATGACTGAACCGACCCATCATGGTTTTGTTTTATTTTTTTCTTTAGAAGAAGACAAAATCAAACCAATGACTTATTAGCCAACGGTTTGAGATTTCAAACTATAATTGAATCGACCTAACATGATTTTATTTAAAAGAAAATCAAACAAAACCAATTATTTGTGTCAAATTGACTTGAGTCGAGCTGATTCGATTTGATTGGTTTGGTCAGTTTTTTGATTTTTTTTACCAAGCTTGGTTGTGACTAGTGATTTCACTCAAGAAAATTTTGTTGGCATTCTCGAAATTGTTAATTAAATAGTAAGAAATACTGTAATTTTTTGGGTATATAATAAATTTATAAGATGAAAAGTTTTTAGAAATATTAAAATCAAAGTTTACAAAAGTTTATAGAAGAACTTTAGGGTTATATTCACAAACGATCACTAAATTTACCTAAAAATTACAAAACAATCACTGAAGTTACAAACTTGCAGAAAGGGGTCATTGAAGTTTAGAGCGCTTTCACTAACGGCCACTCCGTTAAGTTGGTAGCGTAAATTGGTGATGTGAAGATGTTAAATGATGACGTGGCCATTAATTCATTAGTTAATATAAAGCTGTAAAGATTGTCGTACGTCATTCCTTATTTCTTTTTTGTTTGTTATTTTTACTATCTACTTATAATTAACAAACAATTTGATTTTTATCTTGGAACCAGAATTTTGTATTATAATCTATATTTAAATTGAGAAAATCATTCGTTATTCTCGACTGTAATATATATATATGACCAGAACAAATTTATGTCTATTAGATTGCTCATCGAAGTTTAAATTAGGTGTGGGCGTGAGTCGGTTCGGTTCGGTTCGGTTCTAAAGAGAATCGAACCGAACCAAAATTTTCGGGTATCTAGTAAATGGAATCGTCGGGTCCAACTATAATTATGGAATCATTCAGGTTCGGTTTCATTCAGTTCGGTTCGGTTTGGTTCTGTACTATAATTAAATTTTTTAACATTTATAACAACATTATATAAATACAACTAATGATACATTCAATGATTTTGGAATGTCAGAAACTAGTAGACTACCTTATTCAAATGATGGCTACAATCAAAGTTTCGATCGGTGGAGGTCACAGTTTCGATCGGAGGTCATAGTGTCGGCCGACGATTGTATAGGTTTTGGAATATTAGCGAGGCTGCGAGAGTGAATGCGAGAGTCGAAACAACGTTATGTACTTTAGTGTAGGTGTTTAGGGTTATTTAATGAATTAAATCTTGTTGGGCTAAGAAATGAAACAATAAAATAGGTAATTGGGCCAAAAATAAAAAAATTAGAAATGAAACAAATTATTGGGCCAAAAATTTGGATTTAGAAATTGTTAATTTGTTAATTAAAAAATTAAAATTAAAATAATTTGATTTACTCAATATAAAAAAAATAAAATTAGAAAGATTCGATTCTTATTCGGTTCTTGGTCTAGAATCGAGAACCGAACCGTACCCGTTGGTTCTTAATTCAGATACCCGTTCGGGTATTTAATTTGAAAAGAACAGTTGGGTTCGGTTCAGTTGGGTTCGAGAGATTTGCCCAGCCCTAGTTTAAATTGTCAAATTTTAGCCACTAAACTTTGGGAAACGCCGTACGTTACTCACTAATATAATTGTTGAATTTTGAAAAATATCGAGTTTACAGTGAATAATATACAACATTTTTCAAAATTCAGTGTTCAAAATTCGACATTTTAAATTTCAGTGAGCAATCGAATAAATGAATCTAAATTCAATAATCAAAACACAATATTTTAAACGTCATGATCAATTAAAAAAATTGACCTAATTTCAGTAACGATTAGAACAATTAACTCGAATACAACTCCTCAAAGCAAAAAGCTACACGTAAACAAGAAGATATGGGGCCACGTTTCAATCGAAGAGTGGAGATGAGGTTTGCTGTTAACGTGGGGTAATCACGCTTCTCTACTGTGCTGCCTGACTTCATTGCCTAGATATTTCTCCAATCCTCAGGTACTATTTAACCGAAGAGAAAAATTTGGAAAAAAAAAAAAAAATGTAATCGCCATAATCTCTGAAAAAACCCAGGTGTAATTACTGGCAATTACCCATAATATGGCTATGGTGGCGAAGTTACCTTTGCCATCAATTGATTGCCATCATGCTGCCGCCCAACCTCCGCCGTCGCCGTCTTCCCGTCAAATTCTCCGGCATGGTTTTGGGCTGTGTGACCGATTAGGTCGTGGGAGAATTTTTGTTCAACCGTGTAGATCTTTCAGGTCTGAGGAGGAAAGTGGAATGGGTGAGAAAGGGAAGAACGGTGAAGAGAATTTTGGGAAAATTAATGAAAGTAATATTGTGGAAGCTGAAAGAAGTGTAAATAAATTTGTGGGTTCTGTGAGAAATGCTGTTTGGACAGTTTCAAAGCCAAGTTTAAGGTCACAAGGCGAGTTCAGAGAGGCTTTGGAGAAGCTGGAAGAGAAGTTATTTTCTGTAAGTTGTTCTATTTGCTTTTTTTGGAAATTTTATTTGAATTGATCATAAAATTATGTACTATTAATGCTATTTACCTATGAGTCTAGATAAATAGCATTATTCATCTGAGAAATGTGAAACCTATTAGTTAGCTTTAGTTTACTTTGGGAAATTAGGCAAGTATGCTAGTTTTGAAAATTTCGATGATTATGGAAAAAATTATCTAACATTGAATCAAACTCCAATGAGTTGTTAAATTTGGTTAAAGTCCTTAATTAAGTTAATTTTAGTTAAATTTCTCAGTTGAAGTCTGCGACAAAGCCATAAAGAAGTGCGGTTCGTAAATCATAATCTCAACTTCCAAAATTTTGGTGGTCAAGAGTTTACTTAATGTTTCTGATTTCTATTAAAAAATTAAAAGAAATAGGAAAGGATTTCTAAGTTTTTCTCGAACTTTCTGTGCATCCTAGGTTTATATTGTACAATGTAAGTGCTTAGAATTATTATTGGAATTATTTGTAGGAGAGGGTGGTGTAAATTTTTTAACATTTGTGTATTCCTCTCAAGAATATTAACGTGAGTTCAATAGTAATTTTGGCCGACTGAGTATAGACATGCATTTTAATACCTTTTTCTTGTAACAGCTTTCCATTCATGTGGGTAGATACATTGTAACGATGTTAAGCACTGGAGTTATACTGCTGACTGGGTTTCAATTATCAGGTTGGCCTATGGTTATCATTTTGCAGTGGATTTAAGAGTTGATTTCAATATAAAATTTGAAAAATTTGCAGCCAAAGTGTTAATTTGGAATTTCTGTAAATGTTGTAAAGGTGGAGATGGTCAAATGAATGCATTGATATGGTATAGTTGGCTTGGAGGGATCATCATTGGGACAATGATTGGTTCGAATATGGTGTTAGAGGAAGTCAGTCGATCCGGTCCACGCAATGTTGTCATAACTGGAAGGTATTTTTCTCGTGGAGACATGAAATGACTTTATTTTATCCCAAGTATTTAGAAAACTTCTTTTAGCTGCACAATGCCTATTTTCTGCTGCTTCTAGCTCACTGTTGAAAATACCGTGGACAAAATCCTAGTACATTATTCTCTTGAGGTTCGAAGCTTAATGCTTGAATAATTTGCAAACTAATAAGTTTTATATAAAAAGTTAAGGAAAAGGTAACATGTCTAAACATACTAAATGTTAAGAGTAATTTTTTATATTTTTTAGCTTAGCCAAACACGTTTTCAGGTTTTTTCAACATTACCTATGAATCTGTTATTTTTCCACTTGGATGAATCTATCCATTTAGTAGCTACTACTGAATCTCGTGTTAACCCGCTGGAGTTTTGCTGATATATGATTTTATTTTTGAAACTGTCGGGGCAGTACACGAGGACTTGGGAAAGCTCTTGCTCGTGAATTTTTACTTTCTGGTGACAGAGTTGTAGTTACTTCACGCAGGTGATTTAAAATTGATATTGTTAAATCTTCATGTTTATATAGATTTTTCATCAATTTTTTATTTATATTTGGTTCTTCTGAAGGCAGCCCAGAATCTGTGGACATGACTGTCAAAGAATTAGAAGAAAATTTAAAGCAAGTCATAATCGCCACTGGTGGCTCATCCAAAACAAATTTGAGGCATGCAAAAGTGAGGGGAATTGCATGTGATGTCTCTAAGCCTGATGATGTTCAGAAGTTGGCAAGCTTTGCTGTCAATGAACTTGCCTGGATTGATATTTGGGTAAACAATATGCTTTTCATATTTCTCATTCCGAAGAATCTGTCATTATCTAGCAATGTCTTGGTCTAACCTCTCTTGTTTGCCCATTTTGAAGTGCTATTTTGGGAAGCATGGGACTGCAATTAATAGTGCTTTGATAATTTTAACTTGGATTTACAAATTATGTGGTTTTTAGCATAATAAGAAGTTATTAGAACTTCCTCAGTTATTAGTTGCCAAAATCTGGGCTTATGTCTCTATTTCCAAAGGACTCTTTTATTTACAAAGAATTTCTATAAACAAATCTCTACTTATTTCATTATGTGATTTTTAATTATATTATACCCCAGGTCAACAACGCTGGGACGAACAAAGGTTTTAGACCATTGCTGCAATTTAATGATGATGATATCCAACAGGTCTGCTTTTTGATGAATTTAACTTGATAATCATCTACTTTTGCTGCACTATTTTGTGTACATGTCATTTTTACTAAGATTTCTGAATTTCTTTTATTTGTCGGACAGATTGTGTCTACGAACTTGGTTGGATCCATCCTATGCACTCGTGAAGCAATGCAGCTTATGAACACCCAGAACAAGGGTGGCCATATATTCAACATGGATGGTGCAGGATCTGGTGGATCTAGCACCCCATTGACAGCTGTGTAAGTTTAACTCTAGAGAATAGAGAAACTTCTTATGTTTTGCAGAAACTGAATACTTGCGTCTGATGATTAGATTTTCTTGTTTTTTATATAGCTATGGCTCAACAAAATGCGGTCTTAGGCAGCTCCAGTCGTCTCTTCTAAAGGAGTGCCGACGTTCAAAAGTTGGAGTTCATGCAGCCTCACCGGGCATGGTCCTGACTGACTTGCTATTAAGGTATACCAGTAGCTGTATATCTTATATGGCTCATTTGGTAAGGTGAACTCTCTGGTACTAGACAATATTAAGAAGGAAAAATAAGTTACATTTGTCTATTGTACTACTAAGTCCCATTTAAACGTGTGCCAAGCATTAACTTGATACAATTCTGATTTCTTGTTCAAGTTGCTCCAATCTGCATATTTTAAGGTTCAATTTTGTGTTTATTGTTATCTTTTTCCTATATCATTTTATATATTATTTATTCGCTGAAGCACTTGACTTTTGAAAGATTCTTTTCTGAAACTAAGATTTCATAAGGGTTTTTCATTGAAGAAGTGTCCTTCTTGCTTCCATGGCAGTGGTTCTAGTGTACAAAACAAACAGATGTTTAATATCATCTGCGAGCTCCCAGAGACAGTTGCTAGGACTTTAGTTCCTCGAATGCGAATTGTGAAGGGAAGTGGAAAGGCCATTAACTATTTGACTCCTCCAAGGATCATACTTGCTCTGGTCACAGCGTGGGTGAGACGTGGCCGTTGGTTTGATGATCAGGTATTCTTTCTTCTTTGTAGATGTTAGTTTCATTTACTAGGCATATTGAAGAAAAATTGACTCTCCTTAATAAATGGTTAGAGAAAATATTTTTCCTTCTAACCCCATAGAGTTATTTTTTAATACTGTGATCCGTCCTTTCATATTTATTTTCATGTACTGACCACCAACTCAACCCGTATTATGAGCGAATGGTACCTAATTTGGATTTGATGGGACTCGTAGTTTGCTTGATGTAACAATTGGTGAAGACAGGAATTCAAGAAAGCACGCACGCACGCACTAGGAGTTTGGAATAAATGTTAGTTTTGCATATAGATGGCCTGATAAATTTGTTATGGATTATTCTTTGATCCCTAACTTCGTTAGCTGCCATAAACCCAATGAAATAAGAAACACGCACATGCAAACACATTTATATTCAGCCTCAATATGAGTTGGACTTCCACTCGCTGATGTACAGTTTCACTATAAAGAATAAAAATGATTCGATTGTATTTCCTCTCCTTTCAATCTGTGTCTCAGCCGGCCCCCTATATCGTTTTTATATGTGTTGAACTATTAGGTCGATCTGCGCAAGAGGGGATAGGGTGTAGTATGATTAGTGTCACGTCTTTCCTTCTTGGGCAGCTTTTACCAACTCCTTAGCGAAGGGATCATGATCCATGCCTTCCCGAATCAAATCAAGCAACGTCCCTTTGGCTCGACTTATGGCTGCAAGCTCCGCCTTCCTGCTTAACACATCGGCTACAACATTCGCCTTCCTCGGCTTGTATTCTATCACATAGTCAAACTCCGCTAAGAAATCTTGTCAACGTGCTTGCTTGGGAGTCAGCTTCTTTTGTGATTGGAAACAACTAGTAGCGACATTATCCGTCTTGATGATGAATTTTGAGCCCAACAAGTAATGACGTCACACTCGTAGGCAATGAACAATAGCCGTCATCTCCTTTTCTTGCACCGTATACCGACGCTCAGTGTCGTTGAGGTTGCGACTTTCAAAAGCAATAGGATGCCTTTCTTGCATTAGAACACCCCCGATAGCAAAGTCTGAGGCATCTGTTTGTACTTCNACCAAGTCTATCAAATAAATCAGCAATCAAAGGAATAGGATACTTGTTTTTAATTGTTACCTTGTTGAGCGCCCGGTAATCTATACACATGCGTAACGATCCATCATGCTTCTTTTGGAACAAGACCGGAGCGCCATAAGGTGCCTTCGAAGGTCATATCCTCCTCGTGTCAAGCAACTCCGTCAATTGCTTTCGAAGTTCTTCCAGCTCTGGTGGTGCCATCCGATAGGGTGCCATGGATGGTTGTTTGGCACCCGGTTCCAACTCAATCTTATGATCCACCTTCCTCCTAGGTGGTAATTTCTTGGGTAACTCCGCCGGCATCACGTCCTTATTTTCTTCAAGGACATTCTTGATGACTTCGGGCACATTATCGTCACCCACAACTTCCTCAACTTGATCCTCCATTTTTAATGCTGCCAAATACGTCGCCTCTCCTTTCTTTAGCCCTTTTGCTAGTTGCATGGCCGAAAGTTGCCCTATTGCTTTCGTCCTAGCTATCGTAGGAACCATGCATGGAGAACCCTTCTCCAAGATGCAAAACGAGCCAAAGGAAGGCATAGGAATAGCATTGACCTTCCTCATGAAGTCCAACTCGAGAACCAAGCGAAAATCATCCATTGTAGCCACCGAAAAATCCACTTGGCCATGCCAAGTGCCTAATTGAATTTCCACCCCTCGAACTATGCCACCAAGGGGCGTGGATGGAGAATTCACAGCTTTCATAAGACCAC